TCAAATAAGTTTTATGATAAGAGTACAATTTCTATTGAAATAATCAAACAGATGTTATACTGTACTACCGTGTTAATTATATGAACATTTATTTGATATAATTATAGATTTAAAATAATTTTTAACTCATATTGTGTATTTAAACATTTAATTTATAGAAAGAACTTCAATACTATGAATACTTTAAATATTAAATAATATAAACTTACTAACTTATTAATATTTTTATTAATTAAATAAAAGTACCGTATAATGTTATTTATGTAATAATAATGTTATAAAATACCTGAATTTTAATTATGCTGAAAATTAATTTCAACAACATTTCTCAAGAAATAATAGCTAAAAGGTAAAAATACTGTATACAGAACTCAATGACTAATATTATAAGAAATCATTCATTTCTAACACTTAACTAACAAATTGCTGAACACATTAACATTAGAAGGAATTTGTGTTTTGAATATAATTAATGGTTGAGTTAATGTGTTAACAGAAACAAACAAAATTCATTAAATGAAACATTCCTGAGATTTGTTTTGCACTATAAAACTACAGTTAATGCAATTGTTGTAATTTATAAAATCTTGTCCATGGTGTTTTTAATTGGCTATACAATTAGAATTTATTTCTTTTTTGTAATCAATTAATTACTTAAGATCTCTCTCTCTCTCTCTCTCTCGAGTCCCTTACGATGTCATAAAATCTCAGATATATCTCAAAATCGTTGCGATAATACTAAAGAGTGGATGAAATTTAATCACAAGAATATACTGTAGAGACACTGAATANAGACCTTTGACTCGATAATTTAAGCACCCATAGGCTCTCACCATAATCACCCTGGCTGTGGTCAAATTTGTTATCCTTTGCCAAAACGTTTGCATATTTGTCCGCACTATTCACTAACTATAGCACATGGTCACATTAGTGAATAGACTATATATTATACAGTCTAATACTAATAAATACTAAAATCTGATATATTATACAGTATAATTAATCTTCAGTGAATTCGTATCTTTATGTTTAGCTCTGTATTTGTTATGGCTTTGCAAACAGTCGGCGGCGACTGACTCGAAGGTATTGGAGTCATATAAGGAGCCCTCACTGTTTGTCCCATTAGTGAAAGACTCATCAGGAGCATCTTTACGCCCTGTGTTAGATCACATTTGTTAGTTATTTATCAAAGGATTCAAGTAAATGAATTACCAATTTTAAATATGAATGCTGTAAAAGCAATGATTACCACTATAATCACCAAAGCAACTATAGCCACAATGAATGACAGTTTATATGATTTAGACATCGTTTGTATTTAATCTTTTGTAAATTTAATAATTTAAAAACTGTTTGTTAACTTTGTATTGCAATTTGAAATTTAATGTAGTGCTGAAATTCAATTATTGAATACACTTATAATTTACTTATGTTTTACAAATTCGCGAGACTAAATTTAGCACAAAATTTGTACTACAAAGTACAGATAACAATCATAACAAATATTTTAGACACCTAATTTTATTTTTTAAATAAATCCTACCTGTTTATTAAATTCTTTATTGCATATATGATTTACAAGAAGTATTGTACTATAAGTAAAGTCTTTAACATTTAATTTGGTTAATATGATTACATAAATTATAAATATTGAACTAATTGAACATTAATTTATCAAAATTAAAGTTAAATCTTAAGATAAAGCATTAAAAAACATAGCAAATTCGTATTTAATATAAATTTATGTATAGTTTAAAAGTAACTTAATTTTAATAAAAACAATTAATAAAATAATAAGTACATAGTTTACAATAAATATGAAATGAGTGTCTTATTTAAATAGATAGTTAACTACAAGTTATTGTTCGCGCATAACATTATCCGCGTATTTTCCGGGTATATTACCAACGGGCAGGTAGTGACAGACCAGATATACCTTTCTATTTGTCTCATTCATGGACTTAGCACATCCTATTTCCTTACTACCCCTCCAAACGAGTTGTGTAAAGTGTCCGACTTGTTTAATGTTCTTCGGGTGCCAGCCTTTTGGGGGTTTGTAGTCGTAATACCTCTGCTCCCTGTGCCACGAAGCGATCACCTCATTGCAGGTCAGCCTATTGTATATCTGTTTAGTGCCCGCTTTACTCGACACTAAAGCTAACCATTGGTTTTCGCCATACAGTAGACCGGCGTGAGGGCTGTGACGGAATGTGTTGGTCTCGGCCAGAAATTTGGCGCATTTGTCGGCAGATTTCACTAACTATAACACACCATAACATTAGTGAATAGATTGTATATTTAAAAATTTCAATTTGTATACTTTGTGATTAATTTTGACCGGATTTGTGTCCTTATGTTTAGCTCTGTGTGTGTCATGACTTTTCAGACACTCGGCATTGAACGCCTCGAAGAGCTCCGAAGAATCCACACTTTGGTCTGAACCAGTGGTGACCCCATAATTACACAAGCATTTGTTAATTGATTGGTTAATGGTATCATGTTATAAAAATGACAATCTAATTTAAAAAATAAATGCTAATATACCTGTAGTAATAAAAAGCACAAAAATCACCAAATTGACTGCATTCGTGAAGAATGTTGACTTGAAATTATTCATTATGTCTAAGTGTATGTTTAACGTTAATAACAATTTAAAGAAACTCACAACTTATTTATAATTTAATAACTAACAAAACATGAAAATAAATTTTCTTTTTAAGTACTAACAACTCAAACAAATGTTTTGAAATAATATAATATATTATAGTGTATGAAATCAACAACATTTAATAAGAATTATTTTTTGTTTGACTTTTACGAATTCTAAATAACTTTTATATGACTTTTAATTTATATCTAATTGTTTACTAACAAATAGCAGTAATGATTCACTACTAATATTGAATTAAAATATTTTTGCGATAAATATTAATTTGGTTTTTCGTCAATTATTTCCCGGGATATTAAACAGTTTGTCATTTTTCCTAAAATTTTTACGTATGTTAGAAATGAGTGAAACTTTTGATGATACAGTATTTGGGATTATTTTTATTTATCTTACGTGTTTATATTAGAAAATATGCAAATAACATGTATAGATATCTTATCACATCACGTAAAGCATAGAATAATTTATTTCCAAAACAATTTAGACTTTAAAATGGTAAACCTCAAGTATCATGAGATTAATTGATAAGATTTAGGTAGATATTAAAAACTTAAAAAGTATTGCAAATTGAGCCAAACATAGTTCACCCAGTTTGATTTTTGACAGGTATTTTGGTCATAATATTGTCATTGTACAGACTGTATATGTTTCCCTTTGGCTGGTAATGACAGACAACATAAAACCGGGACGCGCTGTAAGACTTGGCACATCCCACCTGTTTGGTGCTCT